AAAAAAAAAGAGAAAAACTTCCAAAACGACTTCCTATCATTTTTTAGTTTTCTAAAACAGGCAGTTGCTTCCCATTTAAAATTTAGATTCACTTTTATGCATATTTTTTTTAAATCTATTGTTACAAAACTGTTACTGTTTTACATTATTGGTGGAAATGATAATATGAATTGTAACACTTTTATGCATCTTTGATAGGTTGTTTAGGCAGAGTATTCATAATGAATTTAAGTTTCAAATGTACTGCAACTGCATGATGTAGAAACCTACAAATGTAGAGGACGACGTTTTGAAAGTCTTTCGCCTTTCGTCTTCATTTGTAGGTTTCTACATCATGCAGTTGCAGTACATTTGAAACTTAAATTCATTATGAATACTCTGCCTAAACAACCTATCAAAGATGCATAAAAGTGTTAGAATTCATATCACTGGTAAAAAGTAGATTATATTTAAATATTTGTTTGTTTGTATCTAGAAAACTATTTTCAAAATTTTATTACAAAGTTATTAATTCAAATAAAATGTCACACAGAAAAAAATTATACTTATATTTCAATAAAAAAAGTTGTAATAAAAATAGTATTTTGGCATTTTTATCATTTATGAGTTCTTTCAGTGATTGTGTGTTTGAACAAATAAAATATCTGATTTTCATATTGATAAAACTATTTTTCAATAAATGTCTTTATTAACCATGCAGCAAAAAAACAAAAAACAAATTTGACCTTATTTCAAAAAAAAAAATTGAAAGAAATATGAATGATGCAAAGCTTTCTTCAAATTAAGTTCGTGTCTGTTTGTTTGCATCTTTCAGCCCCTATAATAGTAGACCTTATAAAGATATGGAATAAGTGTACTCGGGTTTAATGTCTGTGATGTCAAATATTTAGTGTCAATGAAAATTTTGAAATTAAATTCTTTCCACAGAAGACGGATAGGATTTTTTTTCTGATTTAAGTAGAAATAACAACAGAAAAATTTGTGTATTTTTATAGAGATGTGTGCTGTCATTCTGGTGTCAGAATAAAATCCATCAAACACTGTCGTGTCTACAGACAAACAAGACTAATCTTTTTATAGAATAGACAAGTTGAACCCACGAAATTCTGCTAAAATAAATTGGTTTTTATTCACTTCATTTTAAGAGGGGAGTTAGGTATGATAAACATTATTTACACTGATTATGTACTTCAGAGTAAAATGTCGAGAAAATGAAATACAATTCTGATTGCCAATCATGAACAGTCAAACATATGCAAGAAAAACGATAGTGAAACTCCACAAAAAACCAAAAATGTCACTTATCCAGAGGCTTGCAATGACTATTAAAAGAGGGTGAACTATACAATAAATCTACGATTTCATTTTTCTTTAATTTCTATGCTCTTAAGCCATTTATCTCACAGAAATATTGGCCTGTATTGTTACATGAAAACAAAATTTTGATCCCTTCTCTTTAAAATAGCTAAACATTGGCCTGCTGTTCAGGTAATATCCAAGCAATGCCAGGTAAGGATGGCTAGTAGCTAATATTTATAGCTTCATTTTATATTTATTCTTGTAATTTTATAAAAAAGATATTTTAGCTTTTTACTATAAACACACACACATATTTTCATTTAAACAAGTGTTCACAACAGTAAACCTTACTTTTTTGTTTTGTTTTTGTAAACTGACAATGCTATACAAGATTTACTCAAGAATAAAAATAATTATTGTCTTAAAGAAAGATGTTATAAATCTTATCATTGAGCTCTTTTAATTATTTAAAATTGGTAAACCTATGATTAACACATTACTGCAGGTGCACTAATAAAAAAAAATGTATTAGATATCTAGAAATATTTAGGGAAGTTATAAATAATTATAAAATTTATAATGTATAAATTAAGAAGTATACTTTAATGCACATTTACAAAGATATTTTACATATAAATCAAGAACTGGTAATGAGTGGTTACCTACCACACTGCATATCCATCTATATCAAAGTAAAAATTAATATACTTAGAAATACAGGACCACAGAAGATACAGGCAAAGAATGAAATAAATGAGAATCTGGAAAACAGCTTATTATTTTATATGTTTTTTCAACCTTTATTTTTAGATTTTAATAATCTTAAAATACCATAAACCAAAATACTTTTGTTTATTTATCCTTGTTAAACCCAACAATCTGAATTTTGAATGTAAAATAGCAGGATGTCTATTTTCTTCCTCTGTCAACTAATGTTTAACAGTTAATTAATTAATAAAGTTTCTTTTTAATAGTGAAAGTTAAAACAAATATTTTAAACACTGAATGCTTTCATTACTTATTTTGAAGATAGGAAATTTGATCAAAATGCAATAGTATAAAGAATATTAAAATAATAGATTTTAAATTAATAAGCATACATTATTGTGTAAAAATACTATAATTATTTAACAATAAACCCACCAGAGCTTGCATTAACATTATCAGTACAAGTTTGCTGAGGTATTTTATTGGAATCACAAGCACTTCTTGTTTCGTTGTAGGAAATCTCTTGTAGTACTTTGGTATTTTTAACTTCCCTTTTGGAGCTTATCATATTTAGCTGGTTGTCAATCTTTAAAAATAAAATGAATAAATCAATAAATTTGTAACCTAAAGTATAGGTAATAGTTTTTAATAAAACTTTATATCACTTTTATCTTTAAGGCTCATAACTTAAGAGCTGTTAATTAATACTTACCATCACATTACAAACTGAAAAGGTTGTCTTCTTTCAGACATTGAAAGTATAACAATAACACAATATTCTACTGATACTTTTAATAAGGAAAGGCTCTTCTATCAAAAGAAAAAAAGATAATCTGCAAATTTTATTTTGTGCATTTTGACAGCTTTCGTTCTTTTTTACAATTTAATTCTAATGAACATAAGTTTAGATGTTACACAGTACACATATTGCTACATTAATATAAACAAACACAAAAATCTTATGGAACATGAGTTACAAGTGTGAAACAAGTGCTTTGGTGTCAAGAAAGCAATTTTATAAATATATCTTGATCATTAACCCATTAACTGTGGCAGGAACAGCTCAGTTGCCATTTTCTGACTCACAGATAAAACTAAGTTGATATCAATCACAATAAAACGGTAATTTACATCATTCGCATAGATTTATAGTTATATATGTGCGACTGACGGATATTTCCGTCATTCGCAGCTGAGCCATAGAACTTCAATGATGGAAATATCCATCATCCGAAGTTAATGGGTTAATATACATGTTCAATATATTTAACCTAAAATTAAATAAATTATTAATCAAATACATATTTCTAAGACATTAGCATAATAAAATCATGAGTCAATGATACATTTTATTAACTATAAAACAATATTAAACATACCAAATACTGACCAAGTGCAAAGCACTGAATTTACACAGTTATAAAATTCTTTTGCATGATTAGTTTTACACTTCTTTTGTATTGCTTAAAGTGGTACTTTCAAAACAGAAAAATTTGTTTTCAGACCAATAATATGACTTTTTTGAAGCATATATATACACCTGGAAAAAGTTAAGCACCCCCGTGTTTTTTTCAAGTGATTCAGAATCGACGTTCTTGTGACTGATTATAAATTACCATTCAATCTAAAC